AGCTCCTCGACGGAACTTCTCGCGGCGCTTTCCGCACGCGCGATATTGGGCGGAGGGGCAGCCGTGACCGGTCCCCGCCCGCCGCCGCGGCACATTTATCTGGGTTGCTGGGAGGAAGCGGCGAGCGGGGCCTTGCCCGAGGCAGGCGCAGTCTCTGCGGCAAGCAGCGCTCAGGCCACGGCGACCCGGGGTTGCCGTCTGGACGGTCCCCTCGAGAGCAGCCCCCCAGGGCCTTCGCCAGGGAACCGAAGGCGCGAAAGAAGCCCCCGGCCCCTTCCACGCCCCGCGCAAGCCGCGCTCCCTGGGCAGCCGTGGCCCTTGCGAGGCTCCCTTGGGCCCCCCGACGCGCCGCAGCCTCGCCCAGGGCGAGCCCCAGCCAGGGTCGCGCAGCCCATCCCGGAGCGCAGGAAGCGCTTGCGGGCGCCCCGCGCGGGCTTTCCCAGGCCCGGCTCCCTGGAAGGCGCCCCGTAGGTCCAAGCTGCGCCGCACAGCTCGGCCTGCGCAGACGCGTCCGAGGTGGCCCTGCCACGGGCGAGGAGGCGCGCACCTTGGGGTAGATCCGGGCCGAACGCCGGACACGAGGCGAGCCGGAGCGCAGCGCGGAGCCCGGCCCGCCGCCCCTCCAAGCCTCCGCGGGCGATTCGCGGCCGGCGCTCTCCCAGGGGCGGCGCGTGGGCCGCGCTGGCCCAGCCTCTGGTCCCGATCCAGAGCCACAGCGAGGGAGAGCCCTCTATACCTCGGCCTGGCAGGGCGCCGCGGCTGCTTGCCTGGACAGGAGCCCCTCGGAGCAGAAACAGCCACCGGCCCGCGCCCTCCGGGGACGCGCCCCCTCCAGGCGGTTCGCGTGTGGCGTGGGAGGGGAGCCGACCAAGGGGGAGCCCGGGCGGCTTTGGCAGAGACGGAGCCGCGCGGCGCCTTGCTCCGGCCTGCCCTCCGGATGTGCGCTTCTCGGCCCGCTCCGCACGTCGCGTCGGAACCGGCCGGACGCGTGTGCCTCGGGCTGCGCCCGCCGTGCCCCGCGAGCCGCCCTTCCCCGCGCAGCTGGCCCGGAGCGATGGGCAAGCGGCGGGACCAGGCAGCCTTGCACGGCCCGCGTGCGCGGAGGGCGGCCGGGCAGCCCCCGCTTTCCGCCCGGAGCGGGTCCACCGAAGCCCCGCGCCCCCGGGAGGCGTGCGGCCGGAGCCAGGCCGCCCGGGCGGCTGCGGGGCTGGCGGTTTCCGCAGGGTCGCGGCGCGCACGCCTCGACCTCTCCCGGGAGGGAAAGGCACCTTAGGGACCCTCGCCCGGCCCCTCCTCGGTTGTCAACGGAAAGAACGCGGAGCCACAAGGCCCCCCCGCCCCGCCCCGCCCCGCCCCCGAAGCGCCAGCACCGGGCGCAGCGAGCGCAACTTGCAGCCCCGTCGCCGGGCGCAGCTGTGAGGATCTGGGCTGCCTTGAAGCGGCGCGCAAGCTGGTTTAGCCGGCCCGCCGGGCCCCGCGCCGACTCCGCAGAGGGCGGCCCGCCGCCACCGGCGCCCGAGGAAGCGGACGGCAGGACCGGCCTATTGCTGGCGTCGGTGGCTCAGAGAAAGCGACCTTCGCACACGGGTCGGTGGTCTTCCTCACCGCATGCCACGCACGCTGCCTTCCCACCAAAGCCGCCTGCCTCCCGCGGTGCCACCCCGGGGAAGCCCGAGCCGAGCCGAGCCGAGCCTCGGGGAAGGGGCTGAGGGGCGAAGAGGGCCCCACGGAGGACGAGCCCTCGGGACTGCGAGAGAAGGAGCTGCCGTCTTCGGCAGCAGCCAGACGCTCGCTCCTTACCCAAAGCTGCGTGGCCCTTGGCCCGCCCGCCCGCGTGCGTCCGTTCTCACAGGCGTGCGCAGGCCCCTGCCCTCTCCTTTCCCGCGGCTTTCGGGCTTTTAGTGCGTGCGAACTTTCCTTGCCCAGTTGCTGCTCCCCGGATTTATTCTGGTGACATTTGAATGGTTTCAGATTTCATGCCTGTGTTTTTATACTGCATGATTTTTAGCGATGGGTTATGCAGGCATGCGAATGAATAACAACAGATTAAAACGGATATAAAAGCCCAAGTCCTTCGGCGCAACGGCGGTGCTGCGCTGGGTTTTCCTGGACGCGCCCACCGCTCCGTGCCTCCCCCGCGTGTGGGGCCGGCAGAACGCCCTGCGCCTGGAGCAAGAGCCCAGCTGGGCCGTTTCCACACCTGCGACGGCCGTGGGCAAACCCCCTCTCCGCCGTGGGTGCTCTGAGCAAGCATGGCGGCAGCAAGGGGGACAGGCAAAAGACTGCAGGGAGCCCCCCCCCCCCCGAGCGCGTGCTCTGCTGCAAAGGGCCCGGGCCCCGCCTTTGGCATCCCAGGTGGCGGGTCTTTCCTGACACCTTAGGGGGCGCCAGTGCTGGGCTCACAGGGGCACAGAGGTGGAGCTAGATCAGGGCTGGGCCGCATGTGCCGTTGGCCTACAACTCCCATCAGCCTGAGCCAAAAGGGCCCGGGATGAGGTGTGCCAGCTGCTGTGGTCCCCCGTCCGGAGGGCTGCGCATCCCCCATTTCTGTCTCGGGCTGCATCCCGAGTCGGGGAGGAGGGTTTGTCTCGCGGTGCCCAGTCAGCTCGGTCTCCACGCCCCTGAGGGGTCCCAGGGAAAGGCACGGCATCGGGTGCCCCCTGGTGGGTGCCGGAGGAACTCCTTCCTGCAGGTCTCCCCAGAGTGACCAGACCCACCCCGTCAGCACGCCGTGATGCCAGGTGAATGCCGGCTGGACTTCCCCAGGAACCCTCACTGGGGCGGCGGGGAAGCATGGCTCACTTGGGAGCGGAGCCCCGTAGCCTCCGATAATTTACGACAGCCAGTGGATTCTTTGAGGGCTGCTGCCCACGCCAAAGAAGCCACACCGGCCGTGTCCGGTGGACGCCGCAAACGGCTGGCTGAAGCGATGAGGGCGATGTGGCTGCGCGCACCGTGGCGCTGGCCAGCCGCAGCGGTTTCTTCCTGCTGTTGCAACGGCGCGCACCAGGCCTTGGGGCCGGATCCCGCTTGGCCGTGCTGACTTAGCCACGCCTCCCTTTAGCCCCACAGATTCAGTGGGCCTCTCTAATATGGCTAAAGCCAGGTCCAACCCACTAGTAATTGAACATATTGCAAAAACAGAAATAACAATGTAACACAAATTAAGCACATGCACCCATAGTCAAAATATTTGCCAGCACTGGATTCAGAAAGATACATGTATCTTTCAAAGGATACTGCAGCTTAATTTCTCACTCTTGCGGCATCTGCCTCCGGTTTGCTGAGCAAGGGGAAGCCTGATGCCGAGAATCGAGAGGCCTTCTGTTTTCATTCGACTGGGGAAGTAACTTCGGGCAGAGTCCTCCGTTCCCAGGTGGCAGGTAACCTGGCCCTTGCAGGAGGGGGAAAGGGTGGCTCGGTCTGCATGCCAGAAGCTGCAGCGCAAGACCTTACGAGATGAAATGCACGGTTTGCTTCCAAGATGCACAACAGAACCAGGTTTGGCAGTTCCGCGGATTGCGGTAGCTTTGCGCCATTCGCAAACATGGTCGTCCAACGATTTTGCACCAGTGGCTGATAGCGCCTCCTGGAAGTTGCTTTGTACCGTCTCCTTGCAAGTCAGCTCCTAATTCCGATTCTCTGCTCTCAATTTTTGTTTCAAAGTTCAAATTGTCTTGATGTAAGTCGTCCCATGAGCACTGCATCTTCCCTAGCACTTTGTCCCCCAGCCGTAAGGTTTTAAGGTCAGCAGGACCCAGCAGGCGGGCCGCTCTGACCCGCGGCTGCCCACTCCTTGGGGCTGTGCCTGCGAGGCGGATGCAGCAGCCCCGGGAGACAGACGGCTGCTGCCGGGTGCGTCGAGGGCACTTCATGGGGAAGGCCGAGCCACGCTTCCCAGGGAGCCTGTTCCGCTGGCGCTCCATCTCCCGCAGCCGCCGCGGGGCCGGCACCTTCACCCACAACCCTCGAGGGTCAGAGAGCCCACACGAAGTCGCCGCTTCCAGCCGGCTGGCGGCTGGAGACCCCGCCTCTCTGCGCTTGGGCCCCCTCTCTGCTCCATGGCGAGCCACGTGTGGCTAGCAGGGTGGCTGACAGCAGCCTGGGCCGCCTCTCTCCTTGCCACGTCCTTAGGGCCCGAGGTTATGGGGGGCGCCAGGCAGCAGCTCTCCAAATGGCCAGGGGACCCCCAAGCCTCCCTGGAGGGGGGCCCTGTGCCTTGCCCAGGGGGCTCCAAGTCCAAGGGCTGGAACCCCACCAGGGCAAGATCCGCACAAGGCCCTCCATCTTACTCAGCACTGTTGCCAGGCTTGACGGGGCCGGACAGGAAGGAGAAGGTTGTTGTATGGACCAGGAAGAGGATGGGCGCATGCAGTGCAGACACCACCTGCCCGCAGCCCTGCCAGCACACCCACAACTTCGCCCGTTTCATTGCACGGCACGGCACGGCCATTAAAACAAATAAAAGAACAAAACAAGGAGACTTAGGAAGCGTATACAAAATAATCGCATTTGGCTCATCTGCTTGCACTGAACAAGTAAATAATTTAAAATATGTTTTCCGTAATGATATAAAATTAGATTTATGGCAGCTTGTGTTTACAAGCATTAACTGATATTCCTCCTAGAAATACAAGGCTTTCCCTTTTTGAAAAACTCCTACCCTGGAGTCCTGTCGGTTTGGTAGCAAACTCAGTGCATGTGCCTGGGCCGTGGTGGCGCCACAGAGATGCGCAGCTACCTGTACGCACCTGGAGCAGAGCAAGGCCACGGACACACCGCTAGGCGGGCGCGAGAGGCATGCAGGCGACAGAGGAGCAAGCGATGAGCTCCTCGCCTGCTCCCAAACTTGCTCCCCAGAATGTCCTGTCAGAAGGGACCCCAAAAGAAGCAACAGGAACTCTGCGCCGATCGCTTATATATTATTTTATTTGAAAGTGAAAAAATAATTTAAGCTCAATTATTTATAGAGGTGGCACTTTTTTTTCTGACCAGCTACAAGGACGCCTCGCCCCCCTTCTCTGCCAGGTGGGGGCAAACTAACAATTACGCACCGGCGCAGAATCCCCCCCTCCAGAAGCGAGTCGTCAGCAGAGCCCTGGACTATCCCGTGCGGAAGGACGGGAGGAGGAAAAAGCGCGGCCGAGGGGGACAGCAGTGCCCCAGGCGGAGGCCCTCTGCGCCGGGCATCCCGCCAGCATCCCGCCGGTCACGTGATCTGCAGGGGCGCCTCCAGCATCTCCATGAGGAAGGTGTCGATGGGGGTGTCCCCGATGAGCTTGAAGAAGAAGAGGTGCTCCAGGCACTTCAGCCCGATGGAGCGCAGGGCAGGCAGCCGCAGCAGCAGCTTGGCGAACCTGCGGGGAGCAGAAGGGCAGAAGGGCTGCTGCGGCCGAATTCCGGGAGTGCAGCTGCATCTCAGGCCAGGCCAGGCCAGGCCAGGCGGGGCAGGTGCCAGTTGCCCGCAGTCCCCGCTCCGGCTGGAGAGAGCGGGAGGGAGACGGCTCAGCAGGGGAGAGCAGGCCACTGCTGTGGGCCCTGGACTCGCTCAGGCAGCCTCACGCCCCGCGCACGGCCCACACTTCTCCCAAGAGCCAGTGCAGGGAGGGGGCGTCTCGTGCAACCCACAAGTGCAGGCTCGGCCGTGCTCGCTTTTGTGCCCCAGTCAAAATATGTTGTGCGTCCACTGCGTTGAGCACCTTGCATATGTCCGGTGCTAACAAGGCCGATGAATCCCATTTCTGCAAAGCATCTCAGAAAGGAACCTGCCTGCTTGCAAACTGTGGCCGGTTCTCTGAGCCCCTTTGCGACGTGGAAGCAGAGGCTTGTTTTTAAACCCTGATGTGCTCTTTTTTACATCATGATTTTATTGCACATTGTTTTGTGGACACTGGTGCTTTGAAAAGCAATAATCCGCTTAAAGCATTCCTTAAAGAAGTAAACCAATAAAAGGAGCCATCTCTTCCCGCACAAAATTGCTTGCACGGAGTTTGTTCCCTGACCCAGGGACCACACATCACAAGAAGCCTGAAAGGCTTTGCCATTAAGGGGGAAAACCAACATGGTCGCCCGCCCCCTGCCCCACACCACCCGGTGCGCTGGTCGACATCACAGGAAAGTTCAACCCTGCTTGAGAAAGTAACAGCGAGCTTGGCAAGGCCGTTGCTCCACAGCTGCAGGCACCCAGGAAAAGCCAGGCGTCTCCGGTGCTGCTTCAGGAGGGGATTGCCTGGCCAACACCGACCAAGCACAGTTTTCCATTTGCAGCCCTCCTGCGATGCACCAGCAGATGGCAGGATCGGGCAAGGAAGAAGCTCTGCGGCAGAGGAAGGGTGCGCTGGCCCAGCCTGGGGGTGCCCCCTGCAGGAATCCCCCGAGCAGCTCCACCCTCCCTGCTCGCCTCCCTGAAAGTTCAGCCCTGGGGCTGTTGGCTCTGCCAGAGGCAAAAGGGCACCGAATTCCTACAAGGAGGCTGGTGACTGTGGCGTAGCTAAAGCCAGTCTGGAGCAAAGCGTCCACAGCAAAAGTGCAGATATGGAGCGCTGGTCGGCATCCTCATGGAGGTTCCGCTTCCTGTGCAGAATCTAGTGTCCCGCGCAAGCACGGCAAGCCTTGCCGCGATCTCTTTCCTGGAGGGAAATGGGGATAAGTGCAGCCCCGCAAGGATGCACAGGGCCCGCCTGTTCGTAAGGACAGATGGGCAGTGCTTGCTTCAGAGACGGGCTCGTGGGCGTCTGAACAGCCCCACCACCCGGCTCTGCGAAATGGCATGGCTGGAGTGCTGCTCTTGACCAAGGGGACCTGGGCCAAGCCGGCCTAGCAAGCTCACTTCAGCCACTTTCAGTCTCCCCTCCCTCACAGGGTTGCTTTAAGGATCCCAACAAGGTTTGGTAGTCCTGAGCTAAATGAACGGCAAGCGGTGCTGCCTGGGACAGAAGGATCTGAAAAATAAAGACCGCGGCTCATCCTGTTTCGGCATCGCTCTTCCTCCGGATTGCTCCGACTCAGCTGCCGCAAGCCCTCTGCAGCCACGGGCCGGGCGCACCAGCCCCGCCTCCAGCGCTGCTCCGCACCTCCAGGCGCCCCCTGCCACCGAGCAGATCCATTTACCTGCCGGGTTGCTCCGGATACTTCTGCTTGGTATAGGCCTCCAAGGCAGCGTAAACTTTCTCCCGGAGGGACTCTACCTCTGACGGGCTGGACAGGCCCTTGGCATCTGGAGGGGAGAGAGCAGGGGTGGAAACTGCACTCGGTAGCCCATCGCCGGCCGGCGGGCGCAGAACCAATTCGGCGCCCCAGGGACCGTCACTGCACGCTGGAAGCTGAGAACTGGGTGGAAGGGCCAAAAGGTGCAGTCAGGGACAACCCAGGTGAGGGTAAGAGCGGAGGGATGGAAGAAACCGCGGGGGCTGCGCGAGAAGCACGGCGATTATCTGAACATTAAAAGGGCCCGTCAAAGAAGCGGAGGGGCACAGGTCACGAAAGGCATGCGGCAGCAAGCGGTCCAGAAGCGCTGGGGTGCTGCTCGGAGGACGAGCGCAGAATGAGCTGAGGTTGGCAAAGGATGTGAAGAACAGAAAAGACCCTCCTAAGCTCAAAGAAGGACAGAAGCAAAGCAGAGCAGCTGCTTAGCGGAGGTGGCAAACCGCTGATGCAGCGGAGGAAGGGCGGAGGAGTTGCCCGCTCGGCCCAGGCTTCTCCCTGAAGAAGGTCTGGTTCCCATGAGAAATTCCTTCCCTGGCTGAGACACGCTACCTGCAAGGAGCCCCCTGCACCAAGAGGGGCCTGGCGCTGAATCCAACCGCCTTGCGTGCCGCCAGGGGTTCTCCTCCACGCACTGTCCGGGTCCCCTCCCTCCGAGCCACGCCTCAGGGCTTTCCTGCCCCTGCTTCCGGCAGCCACGCAACCAACTCGGGGCCACCCAGGTGCGTGCGGGGAAGTCTGGCCGTCCACAGAAGCTGTCCACGAGGGGCCTGCAAGCGGGCTGCTCGGCAGACGCGGGGCCAGCCGCTCCCGGGGCGCAGCATCAGGACTGCGGTCGGGACCCGTCTTCCGCAGCCGCTGGGGCTTACCTGGGTTGAACAGGACGATGGCTCGCAGGCAGCCCAGCTCCGATTTGTCCATCTGCATATCTTTCATTTTGGAGACCAGCTCCGTGAGGACCCTGTACCCGGAGACAGGGGCAACGGGGGGCTCAGCCAGGGGCAGCCCCGTGGCATCCGCTCGCCTTTTACAGGCACACATCCCCTTCCTCCTATCCTGCCGCCCCGCATTCGCCCCCATCTTTTCTCACCCCAGGGAAGTCTGGCCGTACCAAGCAGGGCAGGAGCACCTTACGCCCACGGATGCAGAGGGAGCGGCTTGTGGTGCGAGATAATATAACAAATTAAGTATATGTTTTCTACAGGGCACTGTTTTATCTTCCATGTTGTGGAAGAAAAATAAATTCCTTGTTTAACTGATCGTTAAATAGTGTCAAAATGCTTTTCCAGACATATGTTTTTAAAATGATGAAATATTCGCAGTATAATTACTTAAATGAAAAATGATTATGGCCATGTAAGGCTGAATGAAACCTTTTGAGCCCTCAGAGTGAGTGGAACCCGCCCGCCCCTTCGTTTCCATAGAAATGGCACCAGTGTGAGAGTGCGGCCCGGGTTCTTGTCGCCGCACAACCATGGCGCCCACTGCTGCCCGTGGGAAAGCCGCACATTCAGGCCAGCCTACCACACAGGGTTGTCGTTGTGAGGATGAAAAGGAGAGGAGGAACACTCTGCCAGCCACTCCCAGGCCCTAGCAAAGGGAGGAAAGGCAGACTAGAATACAATAACCGGTGGCCCTGTTGCTTTTCACGGGGCATTTATTTTGAAGATAGACCAAAAGGTGTCTTCACATTTATTTATTTAGATTTATATCCCCCTCCCTCCCTCCCTCCCTCCCTCCCTCCCTCCCTCCCTTCTTTCTTTTTCTTTCTTTCTTTCTTTCTTTCTTTCTTTCTTTCTTTCTTTCTTTCATGGCCTCAGAGCGGCTGGCATCCTTCTCCTCCTGCTGCTCTCCAGCTTATCCCCACAACAACAGTCTAGGGAGGTAGGCCGGGCTGAGAGTCCGTGACTGGCCCAGAGCCACCCAGCCGGCTCCTCCTGAACCCGGACCGCCCATGTCCCTGCCCCGTGCTCTTGGCCACGGCACCACACAGGCCTTCGCTTGCAGAGCTGGCCATGAGCAGGGCTCCGGTGCCCCCAAAGCAGCCCGGATGCCAACCTGGGAGGAGGCCAAGGGTGGGCAGCCCCCGAGCACAGAAGGCCGCTGCGCGCGATCAGGCTGGGCGAGTGAGCCTGGAAGCCGCCTTGCGGGCGAGAAGGGGCACGGGGGGGCCTGCAGCCGAGCAGGGAGATGCTCCCTGCCCGCTTGCCGCCAGCCCCCCCGGACAGGCGCCACTTCCCCCCGGTGTTTCAAGGGTTCCCCTCCCCAGAGGAGCTTTTCGTTGCACCGACACTCCCAGCAGGAAGGTCCACGTGGGAAGCCGAAACATGCCTGTCGAAAATGGAGCCCACGCCGGCGCTGTGGGCGCTGCTCCGCTGCACATGCAGGCCAGTGGCCAAGAGGATGCCGTCCCGCACGGAAACTGAGCGATGGGAAAAAGAGGCAATCAGCAATTCGTTCCAGCCTGGAAGAGAAGATGGACGCCGTCTGCTCGTTTCCCACGGGAAGAGTTTGAAGGGACTTTCCTGCAGGTCTTGCTGCTCATCGGGGACTAATCTGAGCTTGCATCAGAATCTGCAAGCCTTTGAGCAACACAGAGTCCTTCAGCAGTAGAAACCTCCCTCTCCACAACAGCTCTGTGAGCTCCCCTTATTCTACAGCCATAGGTCATTCAGAAATGGGTGTGTACCTATTGACTCACACTGTGGTGTGGTGTTGTGCAGCGGTTACAGCACTGGCCTGGGACTCGCACCCCGGCTCTTGAGCAGCTCGGCTATGAAAACCACTGAGTGACGGTCACCAACGTGCAACCTCACCTACCTCACAGGGTTGTTGTGAGGGTAAAATGGAGAAGAGGAGGCCCGCACACTGCTACGCTGGCTCCTTGGAGGAGAGCTGAGGGGACTCATTCCACCAGTGCGTGCAAAGCAGGGCTGGCGACCAGGAGGCGCTCGCTCCCGCTGCGAGCATGTCAGCCTTTCCCTTGAACGAGGAGGCGCTGACACGCGGAGCGGGTGCCCGGAGGAGGCCGAGCGAGGGCAGCCTCAGTCCTGGGGCACGAAGCAGCAGGGGGGGCACCCGTGAGCGAGGAGGTGGGTCGCTTAGGTCCAGACGGTTTCCCGCCACGCAAAGGCCGAGGGGTGCTTTTCGCCTAAGCCGCTCACAGAGGAGATACAGATCTCCTGGGCCTGGTTATGCGGACTGGGGTGGTGCTTTGCAAAGAGGCCAGGATCTGGATCTCACGCCCGTCCCCGCCCCAGCAGGCGCTGGACTCATTGCAGCCGTTCAAGGCACATTAATCCTACTGGAAAAGGTGGGCAGCTCTTGCCAAAGCCAGGGTGCCGCTGAGCAGGCAATTGCTAAGCATGAGAGGACCTCGCCTCACTGGGGGGCGGGGGGGAGGCTGCACAAGCATGCAGATGGCCCACATCTTTGCAGATCTCACAGCGTGCGAGACCAAAGGGCCATGGAAGAGCAGCACTGGAGCCAAGACTCGCCTCCTGCAGGACTCCAGGCCAAAGCATCCCTCTCGGGCGGCTGCCCCTGGACGGCCTCCAGCAGGGGGAGCCCACCACCTCCCAGGTCCTTGGCCCCGCTGCCGTACTGCACCAGCAGCCAGGAAGTTCTCCCTGCTGGCCGGCCGGGACCTGGCTTCCTGAGCTCGGGCCCATCGCTCTGTGTCCCGCACTCTGCGATGATGGCGGAGAGATCCTGACCCTCCGTTCTGTGACAGGCCTCCAGGCACCCGCCCGGGGCCCTCCTCTCTCCCCCAGCCTTCCAAGCACGCCCAGTGCTCCTCACCGGGCGGCGTGTCTGGCCCCCGGATCAGCCCCCTTGGCCCCTCGGCACCCTTCCCGGCTTTCCCGCCTCTTGCTTCAACTGGTGCCCAGACCTGGGCGCAGGAGTCCAGGCGAGGCCGACCGGTGCTGAGCCGGGGGAACTGGCGCTTCACGGGGTCTGGGAGGGAGACCTCCCCCAGTGCAGCCCAGAGCAACATTCGCCCCTTTTGCAGCCTCGTCTCATCGCTGACCCAGAGTCAGCTTGCGATCTTCAACTCCAAGCAACTTCTCCCGTGCAGTTCACTGCTTCTCGCAGCAGCTACTTCACTGCCATTTAAACGAGCACAAGGCGCAGGGTGACGTTCGCCCGCTCCGGGAATTAGAGATCACGGCCTCGTGCGGCAGCTGCAGGAGCACATCCGGTTCGGGACGTGGGCGCTGCCGAGAAGACCCTCGGGAGCAGGGCAGGGCACAAGCAGCCTCCCGTGTTGCTTGCGGCCCACCGTGGGGAACCATGCAAGCGTCACCGAGACCCTGCGGTGCCCGTGCAGACGGCCCCCCTCCTGCCTGGCTGCGTGACACAGAGGCGCACAATGCCACTAGCGCTGCGCACTGTGGGGGCCGTCCCACCCCCAGCCGGGGGCACAGGGCTCCTCACAGGGCCCCCGGCCTCATGGCCACCGGAACCAGCGCATCAGAGCCGCACGGTCCAGCTTCCGAGGGAATCAGCAAGCCTTCCCCTCCCTCTGAGAACGCCGCCTCGGCCGCCTGGCAACACGATGAAGGGAATCCAGGAGCCCCTCTCTAAAGACACACCGCTTTCTCCTCCACTCCGCAGCCTCGCACGCTCCCAGCCAGACTGCCTTTTTCACCAAGGGTAGCGCTTTTCACAAAACTGCCCCGCCTGGTTTTCAGTGAGCCCTCGCACAATAAAAAGCGTGGACTCTGGACTGTGCCGACTGCGGCCTTCGCTCTGAAACGCCATGAGCCAGCAAAGGCGGCACCAGGCCAAGTGGTCTCAGGATTACTTCCTGATGCAAATATGCACTGGCATTTGAGCCCACTGGGGCAGCGAGAGGCGCCTGGCCCAAATCTCCGTTACCTGCTCGGAGGAGGATAACCTGGTCTTCCAGTGTTAAGTCCGAGAAGTGTGGAATCCGCTTGGCCCACTCCACCAGTGTGAAAAGCTGCTTATCAGCCGCGTGGCATATATTGGTGACGGGATCACTCGTCTAAGAGGAAACAGGAATGTCAGCTGGCGGGATCAGCAACCGCCACCTCGGGTGTTTCTGTAGGTACGGCCCCTTGATGCAAAACCTCGGAATGAGCATTAGCGCTGTGCGTTGCCTTGCAAGGTTCCTGTGTACGCAGAGGCAACGTGGCTCAAAGGACCTGCGGGGGGATGCCTGGCCGTTTGACATCGTGCCCTGGCATGCTGCGAGAACTCTGGGGCGTGCGCTGCAGCAGGTGCACCAGCAAAGCAAATTGTACGTCGGCATCAACCCCAAAACTGGAGATGCCTGTCTAGGATGGGATAGAAATGCCCCAAATAAAAAAGTAACCAATAAAATCCAAGCTTTCACACTTCCTACTACATGCTAATTTTTACAAGCCCTCCAAAAGTGAATCTGAGGATAATTTACCCACAGAAAAATCAGATGCACAGCGTAAGTTGATATAGTAAGAACTGCAGAAAACTTTTTAAGCAACTTCAATACAGTAATATTGAAAGGCATAGAAAATATTCCAGCCAGATGAAAGAACATTTCAAATGCCCGTATAGTTTACAGCCTGGCACTGAAGGGGGCACAATGTTCCAAAGCCATTCTTGCATTTATGTCAGAATACTCTTGTTTTACAGATGGGATGCACAGAATAATCGCCATAGGAGCTGCTTCTAGTATTTGGGCTGCAAAGTTAAAGGCCCACACCAACACCGTGAATTGGGCTCAGGACAAAATTGGTGGCCAGATCCTGCACGCGTTGGAATCTGTAACTTTGTTCCAACCCTAAACATCCCACCTCCAGGTCCTCAGAGCTTCAGAAGTCCACTATTTGTGTGCCTGCAAGTGCCAAACAAGAGCAAAAAGCACCAGACCTTTCTGGAAATATCGAGGCTCTGGGAGCAGAACCAGAACAGAAAAGAAGCACTGCAGAAAGAACCATTTGCATTAGTCGCATCCTAATGATGATATTAGAGGATGTGAGATCTCCTTGAAGTTACCCAGACTGAAGGCAACCAACAGATCGCAAGTGATGAAACAAGCAAGTATCTTCAGTTTTCCTCCTGCCAAGAGGTCACAGCTCAGAGCTGCCTTCTTTCGCTCAGAGCTGCCTTCCGTCGTGTTGTGAGCAGAGCCGGCTGGAGCCGGGGGGTCAGACTAGATGGCCCGGGAGACCCCTTCAGACTTGCTCTGTTTCTATGTTTCGCAGCTCAAGCACTTTTATCCAACTTGTGAAATGTACAAATTATTTGACCTAAGTTGCAAGTGCATTGATCTTTGTCAGGTTTTTTACAATGACCCAAAAATGACAGGATCAAGGAAAACAACTCTGCATTCCAAGGAACACCAGCAGGAAAGTCTGGGGTCCCCACAGTTAAAAACAGCTGCCAAATTCAGGTTTAACGCCTGTCATTCCCATGCTACAGATGTGGACTCTGGCACAGATGTGGAGGCCTGTGGACAACCGTCTGCACCAGCTACCTAGATAACCGGCAATATCTCCCCATCATATGCTGCAGCACCGGAGCTAAAAATAGCATAAAACAGGGAAGTTCTCCCGCCAATAAAGGTCCTGCAATGGAAAACCTTCCGCTGCTGTCCAGATGTGTCCAGATTAAATAAAGGAAGTCTCTAACAAAGCATAACAAGGTAGTTTAAGTTTAACCAAAACCAGGGACAGACCACAGATATTAAGAGTTGAGATTGATACAATCACATTATTTCATGTGGAATATGCCAACATTTTTGTCCCAAATTTTTCACCTTTAGTGAAAAAGGGAATTTGCAGAATGTTGAGGCACCACGGGATCCTCAACGGAAAGGAGGAGGAATCACATCAACCTGATGTCACAGTGCCCATCTCATATCCCTTCTGTGGGAATAAAGTCGCATTTCTGCCCACCCGAAGTTCTCAACGCTGCTGGTTAAGATTCTGCGTTAGACTTACAGGTCCTCAGGGCATGCGCCCAAAGGGGCCTAACTTGGACTGTCGTGTCCGCCTGCTCATTTGCTGACTTGGAAGGACACGACAAGAACAGGAATCCGTCCTCGTCTGGCACCGTGGATGACCATGCAAAGCAGCTCTCCAAGGCCCAGAGGCAGCCTCGGTCTCCGGAGACAGAGCTGCGCTGCAGGCGGGCCTTCTCAGGGGGCGCCACGTCTGGGCGGAAGGAAGGCACCCTGAGCACCAGTGCCATGTGGGCTTGACACCAGAGTGTGTCCTCGCGGCATTCCCGTCCGGTGCCAACCGTCTAAGTTAATTCCCCTCTCGGGCAGCCACCTACCGAGTCCGCAGTGGTGCCGCCATACGGGTCCGTTTTGGGTTCGACAGCCATTTCAGCCTCCAGAATCCTCTCCACAGACATGTCTTCGCCGCCGCCGCCACTGCTGCTCGCAGACTCGGGTTCATTCTCGCTCCGGTCTCTGCTTCTCTGCCTCTCCTCCTGAACCGCTGCGCACAAAAACACGCCAGACGTCAGGGCTCGGGCGCGCCACCCCTGCCCCCCGGAGCGGCCCCCTCGCCGCTCTCCCGCTCCCATCGGGTCCCTGGTCCCCTCTGCCAAGAGTAACCTTCCGCTCTGCCTCGGACTTGCTCCCTCTCCGACTTCAAGCTGCTCTCGTGCAGGGCCTTTCCCGGACCATTAGAACAGCGTGCATTTTGTGCAGAGGTCGTGTGCGCAACTCGTGCACCGAATGCGCACTGAGCACTGCAGTGAGGCACACGCAGAGAGAGGCAGCTGCAAGCGTAAGTTCAGCGCGTTGGCTTGAGCTCGCACGATTGCATTTGTTGGATGGTCCCGGTGGAGGGGCGGCGCACCTGGCGGCATCCGAGTGCCACAATCGCTGTTAAGCGAGAGGTTCCGATCCGCCAGCGGCTCTATCCCACCAGCACCCAAGCAGCACCACTGGTCCACCAACCTTTCTAAAATTAAACTTGCAGACCCAGAAAATCGCCCAGATGTGTTCATATTAAAAAAAATGGATTCCTGACTTTTGCAAGATGAGGAAAATAACTGCAAACACCTCTGAGAAATTTTCGGGACTGGGGGAAAAACTCCACTGCCAGGTACATGTTTTTGTGGCTTTCAGAAAAAAACTTCGGCAAACCAAAAGGGAGAGGAATCAGGACAGGACTGGGACTGGAGCACTCCCACTGCGCCGGACACTGCCGAGGCCTGCCAGAGCCTCCTCGGGGTGAGGGGAAGACCGGGCCGGCCGGGCCGAGGCTCTGGGGTCGGGTCCTTCTGCCCATCTGCTCTCACCACCGAGCTTTTCGAATGCTAAGCGCGGAGCCGCAGGGCCACAGGTGGGAGGGCAGCGGGCGGGCGCCGCAGAAGGTACCTTCCCTCTTCATGCCCATCGCCAGGCACTTCTGGTAGCGGCAGTACTGGCAGCGGTTCCGCTGGCGCTTGTCGATCAGGCAGGCCTTGTTGTCGCGGCAGGTGTAGAGCAGGTCCTTCCGGATCGTGCGCTTGAAGAAGCCCTTGCAGCCCTCGCAGCTGTACACGCCGTAGTGCTTCCCTGCGGCGGAGACAAGCCAGCATGCACGCCCGGCCGAGGCGAGCGCACGGGCTGCTGCGGGAGGCGGGAGCCGCAGCGGTCCTGCAGCCAGAGGCATCTCCTTCCGGGCTCGCACTACGAGGCCCAGGCGCCTACCTGCAGAAGGCACCACCGGCCCCTTGCAGGTAGCTTTGCTCCAGGGCCTTGGTCTCCACCCGCAGCCACTGGCCTTGCCTGCCAAACCGCTCAGGGCCAAGCCGGCTTCCAGCAGTGAAGTGCACAAGCTGAAAAACGCTTTGTGCGAAAGGACGCCCTGTATTCGCTCCGCGCTCAGAGCTACAGGTGCCGGTGGCGGGAATGGTTAGCAGCCCCCGAAGGAAAGTGGCTGAAAGCGGAACAGGAAACGCTGCCGGCAGGAAGGGAGCTGGTCCTCCTGCCCCCGCCGTTTCCCCAAGCAAAGTTGGTCCCTCCATCTATTACCATCTTGTCCTTCTTTTCCCATTTGTGGGGGACAAGATAAGGGTGGATTCAGGTTCTCCTGAGGTGGGGGGACAGCCTGGAGGATGCATTTCCAGTGGACAAGGACCTGCTTGCTGAAGAGCCCAACAAGCCATTGGCGAAACCGCTTCCTCACTCCTCCTGGCGTGCCAGTCCATGTCAGGCCCCGGGGAACCTGAAAGCGTGCCAGTTTTGCGTGGGAAAAGGAGCTGGGTGGCATCGGACCGGCGGCTCTGGGGGTCACATCCAGTTGGGCCCTTGCTAAAAGCCACGGGCACAAAAGCAGAGACCGCCCCGCCCGGGGACGGAGGGGCACCACAGAAACCTGGGCTGTGGCCCGCGTGGCACAGCCGATGCAGCCGCCTCGCGTGTCCCATTCCGCCCTTCTGCAGAATGTGATCTGCGGGGAGGAGAACTGAGGGAGCGGCGCAAGGACACACGCGAGGCAGCCGGTGCCGTGGGACTGAAAGGGAGGTGCCGAGGGCAGGGCACTGAGCCACTCCAGGGGCAGATGTTCACGGCCAACCCGCTGACCAGGGCGGCTTTCGTGTCTCGGGTCGTTCCGCAGTCAGGAACAGCGCACCGCAGTCGGGCAGTGCCAATGCGGGCCTTCCTTGGGTGGATAACGTGAATCTGCACATTAAGCCCTGGCTCCCAAGCGCGCACTGTGCGCACAGCCATGCAGCATCCCTGGGCACTGACTGGGGGAGCGGTTGCCAGGCGCGCGCGGGCCGCGGACAGGTCCCGGGCTTGTATCAGGCCTGCCCGGCCAAGCCCCTCCACGCCTCCCGAGCGAACGAGGGGCTCCAGTACCTGATGACCTGTCCCCACAGATAGCGCAGGTGTGCTTGGTCAAGGCTCCCGGGCTGGTGGGCACGTAATTCATGGGTCCCGCCCCCTGCAGGCTTGGCAGAGGCTTGACATCCTCCGAGCTGCTCACGGCATTCAGGATCTCAATCTGAAAGGGAACGCAGGAGATGCGCCTTCACGGTGACCTTGGAGCAGGCACCCGGCACAGGGGGAGGTGGCATCCGCGGCCACGGGGGCTTACGAGGGACAGCGAACGGCAGCCCCACACTGGCCTGCAGCCCTTCCACCACGGACCAGGGCTCCTGGGCTGCCGCTGGCTGGCAACAGGGGAGCTTCGGTTCCTCATTCAGAAGCACCAGTAGAAAAGACATTGTTTAATTTATTCCTGTATCGACAAGACTTTATACCTCTTGACCTCCAACAAAGTGAACACTAGCTGGGGAAGGAATTAAAATCCTTACATTCAATGCATGGCAATAAAGCCACGGCGAGTCGATCAGAGGGGCTTCTTGAGATCAAAATGTCTCTGGCAGGCGCCCAAGACGCAGCAGCAGGGCCAGGACATCAAGTGGGGGCTTCCACTGAGGACTAAAGTGAATTTTTAAACAGGCGTACTGGGATTAACTGTGTTTTACGAATGCATACTTCAAGATAACATACTGTTGTGAATGTGCTCTCTGTAAGAATATAGGCACAGACGCTCGTGTTTGTGCAAAAGGGCCAGTGAGCACAGTTACGGCGGCTGCAGGAAGCCACGCGTTGGGGGGGTGGGCACAGGGACGCAACACGGAAAGGATGCTCGGCCGCTCTCGATTCAAGTGTGCCGCGCAGCAGTGGTGCTGTCCAGAGCGTGCTGGGGGCCTATTTCTGCCTGGACTGGCCCAGGACTGAGTCCTAAAGCGCATTCAGCCCCAGGCCGGGAGCGGGAAAGCATCCGGCGCGCCCAGTGCCCAGGGGAGGCACCCGCAGCAGGCGTTTCGCATGCCAGCTTTTCAGCTGAAGCCAAGGCGCAGCTGTAGCTTTAATGTCCTCCCATGTCCATGAACATTTTTAACTCGCGCTGGACTGGCTCCCGCGGAGGGAGACGGTGCTGGAAGGAGTCCCAGGCAGCGATGACTCACTCCGGCACCGATGGCATGAACCGCTGTACGCTGCTAAAGGGCTCTTTATGGAAAGTTTTACCAGCAATTTGGGTCGAGCATGCGCTGCTACCCTTTTGCTGCCCCATTCCTGTGCACAATTTCTGTGAATCGTTGTGCCACTCTGAAAATACCACAACCATGCACTTCCGAAACCATTAATAATGACAAGCCTGCACAGCCCCTTTCTTCTCCTCACTTTCAGAGTTTTGGGTGGGGGAATTTGCTGTCCCAAGAAAAGTCTTTGAAGCCAGGCTCCAGCACATTAAGCTCAATTATGTGTATTTGGGACAAGCAGCTGCTCGAATCCAAATGCATTAGCTGGCTGCTTGCTAATCCCGAAGGACCAGCTGCCTCATCCCATTAGCAGGAAAATGAGGGCCGCATACTCCGTCCGGCACAACAGCTCGGAGCGGCAGCCGCTTCAAGGGGCTGTCTCCTGGCATACTCCTGGACTGACCTTGGGGAGCCCAGCTTTTGTAAAGGGATTTTGGCCTGCTTTGTTTACTTAACACTATTTTAGCAGGAGAGTTTCTGTACAGCAAATGATGCTGCATTAGGACATTATTTAGGTTAATCAGCACATTGCTTGGCGAGCCGCACAAAGACCGTGGGGGAAGGCTCAGACCCTTCCTGAAAAGTGTCGCTTTGTGGTGGCCTGTTAAGAGCCCTCCGGAGACACGAGCCTGGGGTTTCGGGCCTGGAACATCTTCCTCAGCCAAACACGGGAGCGCAGATCCGGCCGAGCGTGCTGGTCTCAGATAGACTTTTGTGGCCAGATTGTGGAAGGGGGCTTAAAGGGCTTTGCACGTGATGGACTGGGCTGCAGGCAGTCAGGAGGCACACGCACCGCCCACCCTCTTCCTCCTGTTCCGTCCCTGCAGCTCCAGGTACCAAATGCACATGCAGCGCCGGAACCCCATGAATGGAATGCGCTGCAGAAACGCGGTTTGCCGCAGGAGGGCAGCGGGGAAGAACGGGACACCTCTCCGGCCCCTTCCCCACATCGCAGCGGCTGTCGCCACCAGCACGGAGCGATGCGAAGGCGGCATTACCCACCGTCGCAGGGAAGGCCTCGGGTTGCACCCCAGTGGGAAACCTCCACTCCAGGCGGAACTCAAGTGGGGTGCGGTTCCACACCTTGGGGGGACGTGGCGTGGAACTGCGACCCATCGGGGGAGGTAGAGATGGAAAGGCTCCCTTTATTATGGACTTCTCATTCCATTGCACTGAATGGAGACCTACCTGGGGGCTGGTTTGTACGGCAAAATTCACGCCTGCCGGCAGAGGCAGAGGAAGAGAGTGGGAGCTGAGGTGCCTGGAGGCGATCACGCGGTACGGAGAGCCCATCGGGTGGCCGGGCCCAGCCGAGCTGCAGGGCAGAGTCCTGGCGGCACTCAGGGCAGCCTCGGGGCAGTCCGGCTGGCTGTCTCTGGAATTCCCTGTGGGGGAGGGCATGGCCAGGTTTCCCGGTGCAGAATCGCTGTGAATTGGGGAATCTGGAAGGAAAGGAAAGAAGAAGGACCGCACTAGAGGAGAGGGGGACACGGACCGCAGCCCGTTCTTCCTCCGTCACGTGCCCCCTGCTGAGCTAAGCTGTGAAAAGGCCTCCGCCGGTGCATTGTAGTTTTGAATTTCCTTGGAAAAGAGAATGCACTGGACTCTTACATTATCTTTGCATCTTTGCTTTATAATTTGCTCTAGGATTTTTCCAGGGACTGGCGCCAGACTAACTGGTCTGTAGTTCCCAGGTTCATCTTTTTTTCCTTTCTTGTAGACAGAGACATCATTAGCCCTTCTCCAGTCACCTGGCCCTTCTCCCGTCCTCCATCAATTCTGGGTAGTGCTTCTGAGAGTCCTCCTGCTAACTCTTTTACGACTCTGGGGTGAAGTTCACCTGGGCCAGGAGATCTGAACTCGTTTAGCCCGATTAGAAGATACTGGACCTTTGCCGGCCAATCTTGGGCTGCCGTCGTGCCTCAGCTTGTTCTTCCCCTTCGTCGGGAGGGCTGTCGTTCTTCTTTTGGGTGAAGACTGAGCCAGGATAGGAGTTGAGCACGTCTGCCTTTGTTCCATCCACGGTGTGTAGTTGGACTCCCTTCTCTTTCCTGTGCCTTTTGCTTTGGAGGTATTTGAAGAAAGCCTCTTTGCTGTTTTTCGCTCCCCTTGCCAGCCTCAGTTCATTCATTGCTTTCGCCTTCCTGGTGTCACCCCTGCATCTCCTTGCTACCTGTCCATAGTCTTCCTTGGTAGCCTGGCTTTCCTTCCACCTCCAATGCATGTCCTTTTTGGTTTCAGGTTGCCTCTTAGCTTTTTCATGAAGCCTCATGGGCTTCCTCTGTTGTCTACAACTCTCTTTCCTTGTTGGACTTGTTCATTGTTCAACCTTAAGTGTTTCCTTTTTTCAAGCTGTCCCGCCCTCCCTGCGATCCTTCTCCCTGCAGAGTGGCTTGCTGTGGGACTTGGTTTATCATAGCCCTGGATTCATTCAAGTTGCCTTTTCTGAAATCCAAGGTACATGTTTAGCTACATAGCTTCATTCATTATTGAGAATTCAAGCGAGACATGGTGACTTTCCCACAGAGTTCCTGCAGCTGTTATTTTGCCCACTAGGAATCGGTTAGGATCAGATCAAGTAAAAAGGGACTTCTCATTTCTGCTTCTACTTTCTGCTGAAGGAAGTTATCTGTGACACATGTTAGGAATCTCTTACAGGGACTGGAAGAGGCAGAAAAAGGAAGGAAGGAGAGAGGGAAGGAAAGACCTTCTCCATCCCATGCAGAGAATTAAACCAGATATGGAATCACGGAATCCAGGCTTTAAAGTTATTCAGGAAGCTGGCCCTATCTTATCTTCCGTGATCCAGCCTGTCTTTGAACCAGTTCTGACTGCTGCTTCAGGTAAAATAGCAAACATTGTGCGAGAAAGAAATTTTGCACTGTTGGAGGAGAGCCAGAAGAACAATGAGGTGCCACGTGCAGGCGCCACGCGGTGGACAGGCCCAGCCCTGGCCCGTCCACTGAGCAGCCGTGCCCTGACCTCCGGGGCCAAACGCTGCATTTTGCGTGGCTTCATTAAATGTGCCTACAGCTCTCCTTACATAAAGAGCAGCTGGAGGCTCACCCCGCCTGGGCCAGGGCCCGGAAGGCTGAGCACGGCCCGAGTCTCGTCCCCCTCCGTCAGCCTCTCCTCAGGCCCCTTCGCAGAGAGAGCGGCGCTTTTCTCTGGAGACACGCAAATGCCGGAGACGCCCAGTTCCATGCTCCCCGCGCCAGCGTGAAGCAACCCTTCTCCAAGAAAAAGCAGCTGCTCAAATCTACTGTATAGATTTGGGGTGCCACTCTGTGCAAGTTTAGATGGAAGAAAGGCACAGAACTCAAAGCAGTCGGTCCTTTTGCAGTCCAAACCTTCTGCTGGTTTTCAAGGTATTTCTGCACCATTTTAAAGTGATGCTTATTGTATTTGCTTTGCGTGGAGCTGTGGTTGGTTGCTTGCCCTGTAGACCCAGAAGTGAGGAGAGAACATATCCCCTATAAAAACGAAATGCATCAAAGCTTTGCTTGCATTTCTTGAGAAAGCTCCGGCGAAGTGGGCTGGTGAAGGGACTTGCAGAGGGAAAAGAGGCACGAAACACGGTTGCGGCAGCCAGCGAAAGAAGGCGAGATGACACGGCCTCGTTGCCGACGGACCCGGGACCCTCCCCATGCCGAGCGAGGGGCCACGCCGCTCCCACGGCTCCTCCCTGTCCGCCACACGATGTGGTCTTCACCGTGTAGCTGTGCCTCATCAGCATCAGGAGCATCCCTCAACGGCAGCCCTCCGATGGCAAGCGAGCAATTAACGGGTGCTTTAGCCATATCCCATGAGGCAACACGCCAACCATCAAGGGTTGTGGGTTGAGTGTAAATTGTGGCTGAAACCTGGGTCATTCTCTTATCTGAGCCTGGCTAACAACCGTGAACAACCTGCAGTTCATAACCCACAAGCAAAGCAACCAGCCAGTATAGTGTAGTGCTTAACGTTTCTTAACTGTGGTAAATTACAGCTGAGAACAAATGACAAAATCGGATGCTGATAAAATCCACAGAAATATGCTCTGAAAAAGCCACATCCCAATCCATGCATTACAACCCTACTGCTCCATGCAAAATTTCCCAGTGCAGCTACTGGGAACTCTGTCTCTCTCTTTCCCACCCCAGCGATGCACAAAGCAATCTGTACAATGTGGGGAAAGGCGCCGGGGCGGTGAAAAACCTTAGCAATCCTGGGCAGTTTATAGGGCTGTCTCCAAAAAGCCAGACACCTGATTGTACGAACATTGGAATGCGACGAGCAGCCCCAGCACAATGTAATTGCCGAAGAAGGGATGGCAGTTGGATTCATTCCGGTCACAACTGAGCATTTGTTCTGTCATTGCCACAAGCAGGACTGCAGTTACGGAAAAGGCTTCCCATCGTGGCATCTGTACTTTACGAAGAGGTCCACCTGCGGAAATTTCCACTGCACCATGTCCCAGAACTGACTATCATGGGGACACCTTCCGGAAAGGAAATGGGCAACTTTATCGGGCAGCAGCGAAGGTTGGGTGGGAGGCGGAACCTCCATGGAGCGGTTTTTCTGTTCCACTGCCCACTGCCCAGTGGCCAGAGACCCTGGCGGTGCCTGGAGTCCTCGCTCGGCTCTCCGGTTGCCTCTGGTGCCAATTCCGGCCACCACACCCCCCCGCCTCGCCCAGCTCCCGGTGCCCCGCAAAGTCCACTCTGAGCACGGATGTCAATGCGCAGCCAGCATCTCACGCCAGCGTGTGCGAAGCGGCGTGTTGCACTCCGCAGCCGTACTCGGAGGCAGGCGTGTTGCGGGCTGGAACAGGTGGGGGCCAGTGCAGCCGAGGACCTGCGCCGGAGGGCTGGGGGGGGGGCAACAGGCCATGCGCCCAGTCTGCGCGGGCACAGCAGGACAGTGCGCTGCGGGCCCGTGGCTCCCGCGGGGGCCAAGGGAAGGCAGAGATGCTGGAGGGCGGAGGTGTAATGCCGGATCTCCTCGGACCCACGGCTACGCGGGGTGGGAAGGGAATGCTCGGTGCCGGCAGACTGGTGCCTCACTCCCTCCCTCCCTCCCATGCACAAGCCCCGTCTTGTTTGGTGCTGGCCCACAAGCTTCCTGAGGCAAGTCAATCGCACCCTGGCAGAGCCGCTTTGCTCGGCTCAGTAGCCCGAAGCCACACAGATTTGTGGCATGCTTCGGACGGGCCGCCCTGCTGCACATCTGGAGCTCACAGGGTGGTTTCTGCAGTTAGACCAAATCCCTGCACACAGAAAGCTAAGCCACCAGCCTTTTCTTCTAGCTGTGCCGCCTGCGTCTGGCCCTTCAGACCTGGCCGGAGGCTGCGGGGCTTGCAGAGTCCAGCGGGGGCGAGGGGGCAGCATCATTCTGCCGCCCCGGCACCTGAGGACCGAATCCACAGCATGCTAGGCAAAAGCACAACGCCTCACATCGGATGTTAAAGAAAGCCCACACAACTTCCCAGACATGACAGAACGCAATTTCCCCGGGGATTCTTCCCACTGAAGAAACAGGAAAGGGTGCAGAAACAGCTTTAGCCGTACCCTCACCCTTTTTGCATTGCATTGAATTGCTCCTTCTACTAAACTCAGAAACCACACAGGAAATACTTACTCCCAAAGCCTGTAGGAAACTTAATGAAGTGTGGAAAATTCCCGTACATGTTTATATCTTCATTGGGATGTCAATGGTGCCTTCAAGTTCAAAGATTCTTGGAATGATCCGTTCTGGTTAGCAGGCTTCCGCCAAGGAAAGCTTTCCGGTAATTCTCCTCTCCTCGAGTACAGAAGAAATGGTGTAGAAAGAAGTCCCGCTTGCTGTGGAAGCAGTGGCATCTGCTGCCGCGAAGGGAAGGGAGCTACTGCTCTGCCATTCAGTTTGGGGCAGGGCTTCTCTCTCGCTCAGCTTCTGCGAACTTGCAGCGTGCTATATTGGTCTCTTAATCCATCAGCGACAGGACCAATCGATGCGACACAGCACCCGGGTAGGTCACAAATCAAAGGGCTGTTGGGGGAATTAATTGCGACGAGGAGGAGCAGGGTATTATTCGATGGACTAATACAAAAGATCGATGCAGTGCAGAGTAATTATGATTTTGACATACGGCCCTAGTTTTAGGCAGCTGTTTCTGTGTTTATCGCACAGCTTAAGGAGGCAAAAGAGGTAACGTTGTTTGTTACGGCCGGACCAGGCTCATGCAGATGGCAGTACAGACTTCTCGGTGTTTACTAGGAAAGAGGCCCATCCAGTGAGCCTTTTCCAGCAGAATCACGATGCTTGAAAGAGGCAGACCTGCTGAATTCTGCAGGCGTAACAGCTCCAGGGCCCTGCTCCGGCGGACGGTGGGAACCACGGAGCCGATCAGAGTGACAACACGCACCGACGTGCGAGGCATTGTGCAGGCCGCGTAAATTTGGCAGCACACAGGCCAGGAGAAGAAGTTTGATTCCGTTTGCAGAGCTAGACGCCCAGTGGAGGATTGGAAGCCGCGGCTGCACCACACGGATTCAGGGATGCCGCGTTATTCTACGACCGAAGGGCTTCGGCGTGGGAGGGGCGCCTGCCCTCTCGCCTGCAAAGCACTGGTCGCTTGCTTGGTTCTGGGAGAGCCCACCCTCTCCCTGAAGCAGAGGTCCCACTGGGCCCGTGGCCTTGCCGGTCGTCCCGCCGTTGCCTTTCATCCCGCTTCAGTCCCTGGCCTGCTGGCCCTCGGGTCCTCTGGCCACACGCTCCCGGGAAGGCCCCAGGTATTTTCAGCCCGCGGGGAGGCGCTGGGAGGACAGGCGAGGCCGAGGAGGCTGCGGTGCAGCGGCAGTCGATGCTGGAAAAGCCCCGGATCCGGCTGCGGCTTGGCAATCCACGACGGGCTCCGCAAAGGGCTTGGCGGCACACGCGTCGGCACCCTTGCGTGGTCCATACTGGCCCAGAGACTGACGCCTCCGCTGGGGAAACCAGCCAAGGCAGCTTGTTTCGCCTGCTGGTTTGATTATTCGATGGTTCGACGGAGCACATCCAAGGTGGGCACAGAATGGGTCCCCAGGTGGCCCCCCAACCAACCATCACCAGCCCAAGCTTGCATAGCCATCGGTGGGCGACGAGGAACAGCAGAGAGAGCCGCCCATGGGGGTGTCCAGGCAACGCGTGCATTCAGACGGAGTCCATGTGGGGTGCTCTCGGAACCTCTCGGTTGGCGGAATGCTGCTGCTCAACCGAAGCAATGGCGGCAGCTTGGGGACCCCCTGTGGAACACCAGCTCCCATCAGCCTTGCTCGGCACAATCCATGGGAGTCTTGATGAGGGGTGTAGGAACCTTTGCAAGGCCACGAGCCCCCCACCCCTGCCTTGCCCACTGAGGAACAGGTAGGTCTCAAGCAGGGAATGCTGGGAAGAAGCCTGCTTCCCAATGCACAGACTGAACATCCCGTTTAGGGATCCACAGACAGCGCAAAGTGCAGTCTGCCAACTGCCCCTTGCTGATCAAATCAAATGTGTACAAATCCATCCAGATACGTTTGCTCTGAAAAATGCGCAAATTCCCCCAAACTACACAAATCAATGAAAAATGTGCATTTTCATGCTTTAGCCTTTTAGGGCAGAAGTTGAAGAAATGTTCAGGGCCTTATTTTTTCACTTTTAAATGCTTTAGACATTTTTCTATAGCTAAATTTGCATAAAATGCAGAGTTTTCATCGTTGCACAACCTGGAAAAAGCTCATCTCCTGAGGAATCAGCAGGATGAAGTCTTAGAAAATTGAATGCACTTGAGTCCACTGGGGAGTCTAATCTACTCCCCAGTCTAATAAGGAAGACTTTACAAGTTGGTGCTTCCCGGGGCGGCTTGCATCTTCAGCCCCACAGCAAATATTTGCATGAGAGCATCATGTCCTGAACCCTGTAGAGTGAACGGGCTCTTGCCAGCACACACGGCCTATGGGATGCACAGGGTGACAAGCCTGCCTGATTTACCTAGAAGGCCGAGGCAAAACTGGGCATCAGCAGCGGGAGTAGAAAGAGCCAATGTTTACAATGGCAGCATCCTAGAGTCTGAGCCCAAGGAAGCCTGCTTCCTTCCACTTAATGTGTTTAGGACATGCCTCTTTTCGGGCACCTGCTGCAAATACCCTAATGCAATTACCCCCAGGACCCAGGAGCTCCCCTCTGCCAAGCCAATAGCCCCCAGGAACACGTTTTCCTCTCCCTCCGCCTCTGCAGGCACAACTGTAACCCTTGGGAAGCTCCTTGCCTGTGAGACGCACGTCCGCGTCGAGTGATCCCGGAGAGCGAGATAAATCAGCAGCTACGTAAGGGTGGGGGGACCTTTGCGCCCGCTCCCTGGTGACGCCCTGGACGCTAATGAGCGCCGGCACTGAGCCGTCTTAGGCCTCCCTAAGAAGCTCCGGCAGATTGGCCTCAAAGCGTGTGCGGCAGCCGCCGGGTTTGCCCGGCAAACTGCCCTGAGCAGCCACGGGCGGAGGGACCGTGCAGGGCCCAGGATGGGGCTGAGGAGCAGGCTGAAGGGACGGGGCCGCTCCTCTGTGCGTTTCTCCTTCCACTCGACCAGCGGCAGCAGGAACTGCAGCCTCTTGTTCCTCTCCTCCCTTGGAAATGATCACCCTGGATTGTTACGGGCATCCCAGAGGTGAATGTATCTCACAGATACATCTGTCCGTGTTCATTTATATTTATCCTAACACTGTTGTAGCCACAGCTCGGGCTGGACGAAAATGCCCCTCCCCATTGTTGCTGCCCCAGTGCAAGTAAGACATGGCGGGAGGGAGGGCCCTGAGTGGGAAGCCGGCCGCTCCAAGTTGCCGAATGGCGCATAGCCACAGCGGTGCGGTGCTGGCTGCTCCCACCCAGCGGCCGAGGGGCATGGCGGGACGCGAATACGAAGCGGCGATCCCAGGTCGCTCCAAGTCTCCGAGACCTTTGGGCTGCTCTCAGCTACAGACCCTCCTCAATTCATTGCTATTTACACGATGGAGCTAAAAATGGCCGAGCCTTTCCTTTTCCGTGACTCATCAAAGTCCTTGGCGTTCCCGTAATCCGCTCGCTGCTTTGCCATGAAGTAGAATGTGAGGGATGCTTGTCTGAAGACGGGCAGAGCTTTCCAGAGGCTGCCTGCACATTGATTCATGGTCGCCGTCCCCAGCTGAGCAATGCAGGGTTTTTTCGATGGGGGGGGCAGTGGCTGTGGGAACGAGGGCAGATATGCTGCGGAGCATAAAGCTCCGACTGGGAATGTGGGATCAATTTGATGACTTCTCTGCTGCCAACAATCCCATCTTTTGTGCACGCAGAAGAATTGGAGCTTGTGTGCCTTGCGGACTCCTCCCTGCCAGAGAAGAAAGGTCATGAAGAGGCATGTAATGGAAGAACACACAGCAAGTTTTCCCCTGGGAGGTGGTGGAGGAGGAGAAAACAGCCGAGGACGGACTCTCAGGAAGCGCCTCCGCTGCATGGCCTTTGGAGGGTGTCTCGGGTTGGTTGGATCCTGCAGGCATGGAAATGGGAAGCAGCCGCACCCACGTGCGGGAGGCCGCGGGACTGTGCGCTCAGATAGATATCAAGCGCACGGTCTGGACCAGAGTCGTCCATCCTGAGGTGCGTCATTGGTCTTGTTGAGGACTCGGCATGAGGGTGGCCACCACTAGTCTGCGGAATCGGGTTTGCGTGGCGCACAGCTGCCGGCCTGAGACAAGGAGCAGCCAAAGGACGGCAGGCGTCACGCCCAAACACCAAGGGACAGAGCAGAAGTGGCGCGGGGGGGGGGAGCGGGGGGAGGCTGGCCCATTCGAGCAGGCCTGGAGGACGAATCCGGGTGGGCCAGACTGGCTGGCCTTTTGCTTCCAACACTCTTGCTGGGACTGGAGGGAGCAGAGCCCCCCAGGGGTCCTTGGCTGGGAAAGGGGACTTGGCATCGCCTCACCTCTTGCTGCCAGGCACAGGTTTGGCTTTTGCCAGGGGAGAGAAGAAAGCAAGCGTGCTCTTGGCTAACCACCCAGCCACAGTCTGGGTTCCCCCTTGCAGTGGGGTCACTGGGGGAGTGCAGGGTCAGGGTCAGGGCCAATATTTTCCCACTCCAAACTGACCCCTAAATTTGTTCTTGGAACCTTCTTTTTTTGGCAAGTGCAAAATTCCCAAGGCCCTCTCTCACTCCTGCTCGCTTCCAGACTTGGTTCATCGGAGAGACATGCAGAAAGGGAAGGACTATTTGAGGAAGAAAGAGTTGCCCCGATCTCAGATTGGCTCCCCTGCCTTCTCAGGAAGCCAGGCCTGTTTTCGGGTAGAGCTTTCTCTTCTTTGCAGAATTACTGGGCATTGCAATCTCCTCCAAAACACAGACTGGGCTGCCAAAGGGTGATGCTTGGCGGAGCCTCGACAGCAGTGGCCCGAAGAGCAGGTGAAGCTGCCGTTCGGTGAGGGGAATCCTGCCATAACTTGGGCGGAGGGAGTGACTCATAAGCTTTACTTTCCTCATGAGAGATGCACCTCAGTCACGCAGAATCTAGTTCCAGTTGCATCCCCTGAGGTCTTGCTTGTTTCACGACCAAGGCAGAAATCTAATTCACAAGTGCTCTGTGGATTACCAAGAGTGACACAGAAGCTGAATTTATGAGGGTCTCGACTTCTGGAACTCCCCCCTCAAGACATGGGCATGAGGTCCGTCCTGCCCCGCCTTTGGCCACCTGCCCCCACGCTGGAAGGACCCCCCTCACGAAAGTGCAGGCTGGGGAGAGGGGCTTGGCCTTGGAGGCGGCAAGAGGAAGGCAGCACAGCTCAGTGCAACCCTTGACTCTGCCTGGCCCTCGAGGGAAAAAGGCTCCGTCAAGCTATTTAGAGCTGCCAGAGACATGCTCAGGGACAAAAGAAGAGGGAAATCGTTTACCTCAGTTTCTCTCTGTGATGAATGTGCATATCGAGATGTGTCATCTGTTCCCCCAAGAACTATTTTCATTACCGATGGAAGTATGTTCTCCATCTATTTCTCGTGACAACCTAAAAATCTAGCCCACACAATGCTGGTTTCTCTTAAAATCAAATTCCTAGCCCAGTTTTCCTTTATAAAATAATCTTCTGTTTAACATGAAATCAGCTTAGCTTTGGACACACAGAGAACTGAATATCGACAGCCCCCCTCCGCCCTGTTCCAAAATGGCACATCATTTCCTTCACTTTTGCACAGAGCTAGTACATTCGTGCCATCAAATTACCAGTTCTGGGGATTTTCTTCCACACTATACGACCTTCAAAATGTCATGGAATGTAACTCCAGACAACGAAGGGTGTGCCCTCTGTAGGGTTGTCACCTTTTAATCTGGAAAGCTATAGACTGTATAAGCCATTGGCCATGTTAGTGGATTATTACAATCACAATATAATAATGGAGAGCAAATCACATTGTTTGGATTATGTTAACTAGCAAGATGCAGAATCGGACAATAACGTTAAAACCTGACATGTTGTTATAATACCCCTCCATCTTAATACCCCCAGACATTTTCATATCCATGGATCTGACTTCAGTATGTATAGCAAATGAAATTACATTTAAGGACGTTTCTTCAAAAGAACTGTGCTTTCCTCCTTTGCTTTAATCTGTGCCTGGTTGGTCCCTCTATTTTGCACTGCCTCAGAGCAGACATACGATATTTGAAACCAGACAGATTAAACATGGGTTGAGTTCTTTCTCCAGTGACGCCACAACGAGCAGACCCTGTTGCATGCATTGCGGATGCGGCTTTCAAGATCTGAGCAGAACGTAACGCTCAAGAAGAGGAAGCAACTGTAAGCTTAAGGAGGATTTTTAGTCCTGAGAAGAAGAGGGATTTGGTGAAGGGCACGGTGGGCTAATCCACCCCACACTTCACGGTTAGCTGCCCCACTTTCCAGTCGACATTCGCGGCACGATCGGCGGCGCCTGCTCAGATCTCTGCCTTGGAGGTCGTCTGTGTTTTGTTCATTCCGTTCCCCTCTGTGACCGGGAGAGCCCCGGGCTGCCTCCTCATTCAAGGAGAAGCCCCACCACCGATATCTTCCTCAGTGTTATAACCACCTCTCTTCGGATTGGGTCTGTTACATGCCAAAAAGAGGTCCAGCATCTGGCCACTGGTCTCTGACATCAGCCGTGGGCTGGCCCTGAACCATGCGCGAGCGCATGAATGCACAGGAATGTGACAGAGAGGAAGGCCGGCCATTTCCCCGCCACACGTCTTGGGGGTTTGGCTGTTCAGCGCCACCTTTACCACAGAACAGGCCGAGGGAATCCCGCGGACCCACGCTCAGACAGCGCCACCTGCTGCCAGCCGCCTCTCTCGCGGCACGGCCGCGCGCAGTGCATGCCTCCGGCTCACATCGATCACATGCGCCATTGTGGTGGGGAGGTGACAGGAATATGTCTAATTGTTAACAATATTTGCTTATTTATCTGGCCAGGGCGACTTCTTTTATATTGTTATTTATTTTATATTGTTATTTTCATATTGTTATTTTTGTATTTTATTTTATGTTGTGAGCCGCCCCGAGGCTTCGGCGAATGGGGCGGCATAGAAATGTTTAAATAAATAAATAAATATATCCGAGGTGAGGCATTACCAATGGAAATTGCGCATTCTTACAAGACGACAGATTCTGTTCCAACCAATGATATTCCAAAGCACCAACATAGATTTAATGAGGAATTCTTTATTTAGTGATGCATGTACAAAACAGAACACAACATACCCCTGACAAAAGCCAGATTAGATACAATCTTTTAAATACATTAAATACATACCATATTAAAATACACAATATTTCATGTTTAATATAAATATTGTAATACAATACAACATTTTATATATTTAAACTATCTAAAGTTGTGTTTTAAATACAGGGAATACCCAGACCATGGCTGGCATAACACCTGCTGCCCTTGTTCAGAGCACATTAGAAGTAAGTCACCTGGTTCCACTGGAATTCACCTACCCCATGCTAAGACCAGGATGCAAGAGGTCTGGAGACCTAGCAAGACAATCCTAACAATATTTAATAGGAAACAACTTCTATACTTTAGAGTTGCTGCTAGAATCTCACTGGAAGCCACCACTCAAGTGCTTCTGAAAACGTACCCTAAATTTGCAATGCCTCTTAAAATGTATTTTAATAACGAAAATATATAAAGATATAAACAATCAAAGAAAAATCAATGACTAAAGATGTTCTCAATGGTTTCTTGCTATCAGAGAAATGGTACCCTGACCTCCTTTTAACTGTAGCCCTGAAATTGATTATGTATAAGTTTGTTAAATTGGCAGGATGGGAAAAGACAGTTTAAACCATGTATTCCAGGGCTTTGGATATGATGCACAGTCTTTTTGTTCTGCTGATAACCCAAATGTTGTAAAGTATATTATTTGTTGAAAAGGAAACCCTTGTTTGTTTGCCATTTAGGATTTCATCTATGCTTTCTATAAAAACATACATTTTAGTAATTTTTGAGTCTTACAAAACTGCACTGAGAGGAAAATGCCCAAGAAATTAAAATAATAAAGGTGCAATCTAATAGGAATAGCTAACCCTGCATTCTTGGAGAATCAGACTCCTATGCAGAGTGGGAAGTGCAGGGAAATGAAGGTTTTGGCTGATTACGGCTCTCTAGCTGGTGTTTTGGAGAAGGAAAGGAGCACGCTGGTTTTGGTACCATCAGTATTGATTATATCGGTATAACCCACTACAACCCCCAGTAATTCTTTGACTCTCAGGACCATGCCTGGGAGCTACGGAATTGCCCTACCGGTGATGTAGATACCACAGTCCCAATCCCATAGGGATTAAATGTTTCTAAACTCTTATCTGGTTTCAGAAAATACATTATCATCATGGATGAAATTACACTTTGGCTTTCACAGAAATAGGTTATCATAGGAAAATGAGCAATGTTAGAAAATAAAACATAACTATGGCCAAAATTTTTGATATATTTTTGCAGGGTCAGCATCTGAGAATACAAAATTAATTTCCTTTTTGTGCTAGGTAGACACAAAAGCATTTTTTGTTAAATGTGTTTTTAGAACCATGAAAATTTGAAATTTGGTTCAAAAACTATTCTTTGGAGCAACCCCCCCCCCCCCCCCCGGTCCTATCCAGTCATTTAGCACTGGTACAAAATTAAAGCTAACAAAAATCTAAACCAAAATCTAAAACCGAAAAGGAAAAAAAAAACTACACTCCCCACCCCCATATATAAAAACATCTAACACCAAAATATAAAACATTCGCACATTCGGACATCTTTGGATTTTTGAATTGCTGCATAACCATTCAATGTATGAAATCCTGAGTCAGAATTTCTACCGAATTTTAAATAAAGTTGAGATTTTGATGGTAGGGTCCAATTAGTACATGTCTACTCATTCACTGTAGCAATTATTGCATTAATTAATCTTTGACATAGACACAATGAGGCCAGACCCACCGAAATGAAAGCAGCCCTCCTGCCTGTACAGGGACAGTTTTGCCTGGCAGGGTTTGTTCAAGGCCAGCATAAAACCCCCGAATCAGCGAAGGATTGCCCAGGAGCGCCTGCACGTGGTTCCCAGGTGGTGGCCATCAGGCATTTACTCTGCAGTCTGTGGGATGACAGGCATGTTGCAGATGCAACGCGGAGGATGTTTTCTTGTGGTCCCTGCAGAGGACCCGTGCAGAAGCTTTGTGGACATCAGAGAGGCTGCTGGCGTCTTTATGGGAAAGCAGATGTTTTCCTGAGGCTGTTCTTGACAAACCGCAACAGCTTCTGATGTCTGACCATTGCTCCTCTTCGCTCTCTTCATTCAGACAGTACAGGTGTCTGTGGAGACACCTTGGAACCTTCTGGAAAGATTAAAATTTGCAGTTCGAATGAGAAAGGAGCAAGCTTACACTGCCTCTTATTCCAAATATTCCTATGCGTGGTTCATAAGCTTCTCCGAGTCCCCCTGCAGAGGTTTGGTTTCTCCTCTGCCTGCAGCACCTAATCAGGGCTCCACGCTTCCAGGTGTGCCCAATGTCCTCACAATTAACACGTTTGATAAATGGCAACCAAGGATCCGATGGCCAAGTTTAGGATTAACAGAAATGTATCATGCGGCTGTGGCACCGTACAAAGGAAGGAAGGAAGAGATTTTTCGGAACTTACCTAGTTAAATCAGGTGAGCAGAACTTTGGAAAGTACCTTCCGAATCAAGGCTGTGGCAGCTGCTGTAAAACATAGGATTGAAAACATTTCAGATCATTGTGCCTGAAAACAAATAGAATTCTTGGTCCAAATTAGAATTTTGCTTACGTATTTTGAATCACAGCTTACCTGACTGGAGTAAATTTCTTTGCTGAAAGAAAGAGAGAGAGAGAGAGAGAGAGAGGAAAGAGAGAAAGAGAGGATATTAGTAAACATTGAGGCTGCAATTTTATCCACAATTACCCTTGGACTTACTTCTGAGTGAACATGGAATGAGTTCGCATAATTTTGCTTATGCTCCACTTTCTTGTCTCTTACAATTTCATCTAATCTCTGTACTCTGAGGAACGTAGTGCAGATTCATAAAGAACAACACCGTACCGATAAACCCTTTCAATTTGGTGACTGGATGGGCATGGAACAGGAGAGAATTTTGGCATTCTCCTAACACTGCCCCGTTCTCAAACCCCTTTGGAGCCACACTAGAGGCGATGCTAAATTTATCTTTGCTTTTAACAGGCAGCTTTAAAAAGCCTTCCCTCGGTTCTTCCAAAGTTACGGCTGTGGCTTCCTTCATGGAGTCAATCCTTCTCGCATTTCATTTCCCTTTTCTTCTTCTGCCTTAGACTCCCCGGTGTCTTTTACAAACTGGACATTTCTGCCTCGTTCGGAGCCAGCCTTCCCCAGCGTGGCTTCCTCTGAGCTCGCCGATCTACCGCTCCCATCCGTTTCAGGCGGCATGGCAGACAGCTATGAGAGTTCTCCTTCGACATACTGGGACTGCATCAGGTAAGGACGGCACCTTAAGATACAACCTGGTGTAGCCTAACAGGAACAGATGGCGGATATTGCTCACCTTTCCGCCGCAGGTGCTTCATGAGCCACAGAGTGAGTGATCCTGCTGTCAGGGCGAATCCCCCTGTAACCGCAGCGCCAACCTTCAAGGGACTTCCTGCAGCCTGATGAGCTAAAGTTGAAGTATATCAGCTTATTGCAAACCTCAGTTTTAGAAGAGGCAAACACTGGTTGCATTTCTGCACTGCCCAGTTGCCAAAGCCCCCTGGCTGGCTTGCAACAATTACAACTACCAAATAAAAAAATCAAGAACACAGCATAAAAGTAATGGAAGTAAAACTAAGTATCAGTGCAAAGCCACAGTAAAGGGTTTAAATGAACAGAAAAGGAGAGATTAAAATGCTTGGGGAAACAGGAAGCTATTCCCCTTGCCGTAGAAAGAGCAGAATGTGGAACCGCTCAGGGAAACTCATTCCGCAAACGTGCCACAACGGAAGAGGCTCTCCTGAGCGGCCGGCACCTCGCCTCCTTCGGCAAGGCCTGCAGGCAGGGCCTCTGGCCCTTGAGGCTCAGATGGCATCGTCTGTTTTTCACCAGCTTCAGCTGGGGGCGCCGGGGACGCCCCGACTGGGACAGGGAAAATCTGGTGCACCTCCACTCAGAAGATGCACTTTAAGTGAGGCTGCCCTCGAAGGCTGCTCAGAAGTTGCAGCTTGCACCAAACGCAGCAGCAGGGGACTAGCTGGGACCAGAAGGTCTCTGCATCTCCGTAGGGCCAGTTCTTGGCCACCCCCCGGGCTGCCTGCGCCCCTCTGAGCCCAGGCAACGTGGCCTGGGGCTGCAACAGCTAACACTGCAACCAGCATCTGCGTGGCAGGTCGGGAGGGAGGGCCTTCTTCGGGGGGACTCTCCCCCTTCCCCCAGTTGTGGTATAGTCTCCTCCCCGGGCCCCAGTGATGTCAACTTGGTTCTTTTTTGGTACCAGCATAAGACTGCGTTGCAGTGATGCGTATTGCGAAATTGCTTTATTGAGCACCTGTTTTTTGTTGTCCAAACTGTTTTAAAGTTTGAATATTGGAAACTGTGTGCTTTGTCATGTTTGTGGTTTTTTTATAAACTGCTGTGAAAACCCAGAGAGTTTCAGTTCTTATGATTAAGTTCACTTGTAGTAATAACTGCTAATACCACAACTTATGGAAAGAGATGGTCCTTCGGATCACCTGGCCTCAAGCGAAGGCTTTGAATGTCCCTGTTGATGACCTGCACCCTGGGCCAGGCCTGTTACGGCCTTTGCACAGAGTGGAGGGCACAGCGCTAGTGTAGTATCGCCACTTGGCCAGGTCCCATTAATGATCTTGCTGCCCTGTTTGGAAGTTCCTGGGCCACTTTCAGAGGCAGAATTGCAGCAGACCAAGTGGAGAGGCTGCTGGGATGTGTGTACCTGTGTCTATGCTGTACCTGTCCAGGTAAGGCTGCAGTTGGTATAACGGTTGGGACACCGTGCAGGGGAAGGCAAAAATTTCAGGAGCCCTTCTCATAACAATCATATTTGCGCTTTGCAATTCTCTTCAGGTATTTCAACATATTTCAAAATTTTCAAAAATTCAGTGCTTTTCAGGTATTTCAGCCTTACCTTCACATTTGGGAGGGGGCAGCGACCACTGGCCGGTGGAAGAGCACTGGATCCGAGAGGCCCCTTTCAAGACGCGGCCCTCCAGGCAAGCAAACTCACAGGTGGAGTTGGCGGCCAGCTCCGTGGCGAGGCTGGAGCAGGTCACCGAGCCCCCCTCTGGCGGCTGCACCGCTTCGCACCTCACCGCTGAGGGAGAGACGAGGGACACGGCTGGTTAGTCCGGGTGCGCAGGGACGCCGCAAAGGGGGGCTGGGGCGGCAATCCGCCCGGAGTGGCACTGCCCGGCCTGGCTTGGCCTGGCCTTGCCTTGCCTTCCCTTCGCATGGAAGCCCCAGTCTTACCTTCGCAGACAGGAAGCGCCTCCGACCAGAGTCCGGCTGCCGTGCACTGAATTTGGGGTGCTCCTCTCAAGGTGTAGCCTTCCAGGCAGGCAAACTCGCAGGTGGAGTTGAAGGCCAGCTCCGAGGCAGGGTGGGAGCAGGTCGCCGAGCCCCCCTCCGGCGGCTGCACCGCTTCACACCTCACCGCTGGAACAGACCACATCTCTAGTGAATTTGGGCATGTTACACAGAGGAGGCCATGTGAAAAACAATGAGCTCTGTGTGAGCAGGAAAGGCGATGGACTGGGAGCGTTACCTTCGCACTCCGGCTCCCGTCCGTCCCACTCTCCAGCTGCTCTGCACTGCAGCTTGTCGGAGCCCTTCAAGAGGAAACCTTCTTGACAAGCAAAGTTGCAGGATGAATTCCAGGCGAAATGTCCCACTGGGTGGGAGCAATTCAGGGAGCCATTGGCAGGCTTCTGTGGGACAGGACATTTCACTGCTGGAAATACAAGAGGTTGTTTACTTTCTTCAGTCAAGGTACACAGTGGCTAGAGGTGAACCTAAAGCCATGCATTCTTCAACTACCAGGGAAGCAACAGAACTTTGCGGGGGATTGATAATGGAACATTGACTTGCTGGCTTTACTAGTCTCCTCAGACCATTTTCAGCCAACAGGATCAACTTTCCATTCTGTAGACTAACAGGGATCACGAAAAATATTGCCGCTCTCATATACTTTTCAGCTGTGCTCCATGTCTTTTCCGAGGATATTCCTAATTCCAGCGCTGTCTCTTTCCCCACCCACCCACCTTTTTCTTCTCAATGAGCAACGAATACTCAGCGATCAGTGAGCATACTAGCCTTCACTGGACTGTTTTGAGGCAGAGAGACCCACTGTTAACTTCTCCTCCTCCTTTTTCGGTCCTATAAAGGATGCTTTTTTATTTCTGTGCATCTGAGGATGCCTCACTCTCCTGCGTGGGTGGTGTTGTTTGAGTTTTGTGAGATGCCACACTCAGGGAATGGGTTTGCTACTAGTGCTGCTAGTAACCCTAGTACTAGGATCTGAAGGGTGTTCCAGCTCAATTCATGGGACGTGCTCTCACACCGCCAAGAGCAACTGACAGAAACTGACTGACAAACAACACTTTTGACGCTGCATCACTAATTAAGAATAATCTGCGTTGTGCTGCTTATATCTTCAGGTTCAGGACCACTGACTCGGGGCTCTGCACTGGCTTTCGGTGTCTGGAAACCTGTCCAGTTCCCCTACCTTCACACACAGGGATGGGTGCAGACCAGTTTCCCGAAGCGGTGCAGGTGACTGGCTCCAGCCCAGTTGGCGCGTACCCCTCCGAGCATCGAACGTGGCAAGACGAGTTGAAGCTGAAGTCCCTCACCGGATGCCTGCACTCGAGGGTGCCGTGACTCGGCTCGTCCAGCTGGTCACAAGGAACGACTACAGAGGAACACAGGCAAGGCGGGCGTTCGTCACATGCAAACACTGTACAGAATGAAAGACTCTGCTGAGCCGCGGATTTCAATGGACCGCGCTTGCTTCCTCCGGCCATACCGTGCTCGCAGTCGCGCCCGTGGAAGCCTCCGTCGCAGACGCAGGTGTAATTGTTAATGGTCTCCACACATTCGCCACGGCCATTGCAGGAATGCGGCTTGCAGGAAGCTGAAAGCCAAATCAACAGATGAGGGATATTTTCGAAGAGTATTTGCTGACACAGAGCGACAGTGGAACTGCTGCAGCGAGGGAGCGGAACAGGCGCTCGCTGCTGGATACGGCGATGGTGCAAAGCGCGGCCGGGCCGTTCCCGAGGCCTGCCCCACTCCTGCCCGTCTGCCGCTGCCCGGGCCTCTTTCTGCTCTGCACCACCGTGCAGTTCCAGGGAGCACGGTGCTCCCCTGCACAGTCAACGGGAGAGAAAACCCACAGTTTGGCATTCTAGGGGCTTGCCATTCCTATCATGTAAAACTTTTAATGAGGCACGCTTTCTGAAACTTTCTATTTTCTTGACATAAACAAGTGCTCAAAAAGGAACGTGAAACAAAGCAAGCTATAATGAACAAAGTTGCCAAGGGAATTTTAAACAAGTATAACCTAAAAGAAGCATGTGTTCAGGGCTTCCGCACAAACCCCTTTGCCTCCTGCTAGCTACCACGTGGTACATCTAAATGTACACAAAGCTGTCTTGTGCAGGTGTACAGGTGGGCAGCTCAGATACCTCAGCCACAGATGGATGCGACCTCATCATGTATTTGAATCACCGTTTAGAAAGTTGAGAGCAGTTTAAACAAACGGGGTTCAGTCCGGATTTTGTTGCACTTGGAATAAACCAGACCAGTGGAGATGGATTTCAGTCCCATTGGTTTCTGCAGGCTTACTCTTCTAACTCTATCTTGACCCTTCCCAGGCGTTCTGCAACGCGCATCGCAACGGCTCGGCGCACTAGTACCCCACCCGCGGGTGCAGAGATCCGTCAGAGAAGGCGCCTGTGCTCGTGGCCACGGGGTGACTAAGACACGGCCAAGCATGCTTTTGGGATGAAGAGTGTGGGAGGGGGGTGGGGGTGGGGGACGCCCAGCCATCTCTGCACCAGAGCCCCCCAACCTGCCCCCTTACATCCAGTGAAGTCTGCCAAATTCTCTGAGCTTCTGCAGACTTGTTCTGGCAGTTTGGGGTGGCAATCAAACGGACCGTACCTGTGTAGCACAAAGCCGCTTTCCTTTTGGAGCAGGCTTCATCGTTCCACTTGCCCGCGTCCCGTGCTCGCTTGATGTAGATCTCCACGCAGTCCTCGTTGGTTCTCCGGTTGTTCGGTTCACCTCTTGCCCAGTTTTTAGCCTCTTCAGTCAGTGGCTTGTTCGTTCCAGTCCATACCCACTCATTGTTCTTTTTTCGGATCCCAATCCAGTAATGATTTTTATTTGCAGGAAATGCCTCATTCAAGTGCTTGTTCTCCTCCTGATTCTGAATAGCAACCAGATGCGTAAAATGCTGCGTGCACCATGCTTCTGCTTCTGTGTAACTCATGTCTTTGTCCGAAGCGTGGTATGTCCAGCAGGCGTGCTGCTTAAACGACCCTAGAAAGAGAGGCCAGGACGTTTCTACATGCCTCAGCATCTGGCCTGTACAGAGCCCCTGGGGTTCAAAAAGGGGGTCCGTGGCGCAGGGAGATGGGAAAAGAGACAGATCCTAAAAGAGGCCCTGAAAGGCCAAGGCAAGAGCAGCAGCTTATCCGTGGAAATGGTGCCACCCGCGTCTTCCCTGAGATTGACCTGCGCCAAGGAGGCTCAGCCAGGAACAGCGATTAGAGACAGGCCAGCTTTCTTTCTGGTAAAGACTAAAACAGTGGGGTGGAAGGCAAGCTGGGTATCTCGGCCTATGGAAAGCAAGGCCATCCTGCCAGGGCTCACACAAAGGGAAAAACTCGTGGGTTTATAGCTGAGGTCATGGGCAATTGGGTTCTCCCTCTCTTTTTTCGTAAAAAGTAAGATAGAGAAAAGGAAAAAGTGTACGAAAAAGAATACCAGGGGATATTGCACAAATGTAGCATATAATTTCCACATCTAATAAGAAGGATTTTTTTCTGATGCATAATCTAAGACATGCTGCATTAGTTTGCTCTCTCCTTTAACTCAAGCAATGATTTCCAGTTTCTGACTTAAGTGTACTTTAAAATACATCCCTGCAAAATAAGGTTGCTGATCCAAAAAGAAAAGTCTGGCAAGGGATAGTGCTTCTATCTAAATTTAGAGGGATTCCCACTTTGAAAAATACTCACCAAATAGGACAACGAACAAGAACAAAAAGGCAGTCATCCTGAGCTTTTTCTGGGCACTGGATCGATCTGGCCTTGTGGAATTAACTGCATACAAATAAGAAATCACAGCATATTGCATATCTTAAAGTTTGAAGTACAAGAACGTATCTTGAGGTTGAACATCAGAGACATGCTTACAAACTGGTTTGCTGCTATACCTTCTGGAATTCTAAATGGCAAACTTTTAGCTGAGGTAGATTGAAAACGTCATTCTGGAAATCAAAAGTGAACTGGGAATTCCAACCCATTCCAATCTACATTAACAGTTCTCCTCAGCCCCACATTAAACAATTTCTCTGGGCTCCATCACAAGATGGTTGGGGAGGTCTTGTACCCTAACCCTTTGCTAGTGATTTCCAGAAAAACTGAACTTAAATCTGTTGATAACACTTCACACATGAAGCAGGATGGCCTTTCTCACGCGTCGCTTTCATACTGAGCTGGTGACACCCTTTCGCTTGACATAGTAATGTGTGAAATTTTAATTTTATATTGTAATTTTTGTATTTTATTGTATTTTATTGTGTTTGTAAGCCACCCCGAGGCTTCGGCAAGGGGCAGCATAGAAATGTTCTAATAATAATAATAATAATAATAATAATAATAATAATAATAATAATAATAATCCCATACGTGTTTCGAGAATTCTGCCATGTAAATACAGGGCTTTGTAGCAGAATTCCCAGGAAATTCTGGCTTCAAGACACCTTGAATCCTGGAATTATTTAGGGGAGCCTTTTGCCCAATTTTCCCTTATGCCATCTCACTACAAAAAATACACGCGCATGCTTCTCAGCCTATTTACTTACCGATCGCAGTTGCACAGCCCTGTGGCAAAGAGGGACCCTGGTGCCGTGGTGCTGTAAGGCAGGTTCCCCTGCGAACTCAGCAGGACAGGTCTTGGCCCAGGCTGAAGTTTGTGACGTTCACTTGCTGATAGTGGCTTCGGCTCTGTGCCTGCTTCCTTTTTATAGAGATTAGTTGTCTCGTGCCTCCCCGCCCCCCTCCCACTCTGGAATTCCCATGATGTATCCGGCAGGATATTACAAGAAAGAAAGTGAGAATTTCCCTAGGTAGGAAAAACTCGTTCCCCAGAATATCCATGATGTTAAGCCGCCAGCCAGCCTCCCTGCCGCTTCCGTTTCAAAACATCTTCTGTCTGAACCAGGATTTTATTTGCAAATGTTTTCAGTAAAAATCAGTCAGAGCAACAACACGGGATGCACTCCTTTGTTGGTGCAGCTGGAACTGGAACTGAGTTTGTCACATAAGATCTCTGTTCTGGATCAAGAAAACCAAAATTCTGGATTCAAACGTTATCCCAAATGCACAGATAATTCTTACTGAATATTTTCTTTCAAATCTGTTTTTTCAGATTGTTTACAAATAGGCTTAAAGAGGATGAGGAACTTCCCCGTTGCTCCCGAGTCACCTGCAATGGCGTATCACACTGATTTTGATGCTGGTATTTTGTACATGTCGGAGGCCACGCGTCTGGCATGTTCTGCTGTCCCCCCGGTTGCATCATTATTCTGGTGCATACTTGGTGATCCAAACTTTGTTATAGAGAGTATAACCAAAAATATGCTTTGATTTGTAGGTGCTTATCTGAATTTCAGGGAATTGAGAGAGAAAGGGATTAAAGAAGCAATCAAGTCAGGATATTTTTGCTCCACTTTTTCCATATTATATTTACTAAGATTAGAAGTGGAATTCTCATCACTCCATCACTGTGATTTATTGTAGTTCTCAGTCTCCCGAGAATTGTGGTGAGTCTTGCCCTTCTTAATGTCTTGGACACTTAGATTCAGACATGAGCTCCAGTTTTTCAGATCCACTACATGTTAAATCAATTGAATTTTGGTTTGGAGGTTCTACTGTCTTGGAGAGGTTTCTGACTTTTGCAATCAAGTCCAGGATTTTTGTTCCCAAAGGTCTGATTGGGCCAAGATACTCTGACTTTAATTTCTCCTTGAGTTCTTTTATCTGTCCCAGGATGCCGGCCATTAACTCTCCATACAGGCTCACTGGCTGCTGATTTGTGTGGCACAAAAGCACCTTTCCTGTCCAAATAGAGGAGAAGTAATGCTAGATAAATTATTCCTGGACAATTTCAGACAGTGTTGAGTATTATGTTAAATATGATTTCTCTGTTATGCCGAGTCTGTGTGTGACCCGATAGATCTTTGTTGTTTCACCATTTTTGTGTGGGATGCTGTTTTTAATTTATGACCTTGGATTGGGCTTTGTGCTCTAACTATTGCGACATCACAACCCCCAGTTCCTCAGTGGTCTCTTAGTCAACGCACACCACACTTAAAGGTAAGGCAAGCCTACCAAAGCATTATGGGCTGCTTTTAGGGGGGAAGGGGAGCGATTTTCGATGGAGATTACTGGAAAGAGGGGGAGTTTAATTTCATTTATTTATTCGAATATTATTACATACAGTGTTGTTGTTTTTTTGTCATAGAACGCATTGCAACAGAGTTCCGGCACATTTTTTCGACAGATTTTCCAAGTTTTAAAAGTAACTTTTGAAAATTTGTTGCTTGGTCCACGTGGATTTGAATCGCCCTGTCGAGTGTAGCAGGTTGGCGGCAAAATCATTGAAACGGTGCATGCGGGCTGCTGGTGTGTCGAATCCGATGCGTGCGCACTTCGTCCGTGCTGGTTGTGATGGCGCTGCTCGGCTTGTGATTGGTCGTGTGGTCGCGCGCCGAGTGCTTACTGCATGCGGTGACCGTTATGTTTCATTACACAACTGACGTGTGTGGGTGTGTGTACAGTGATTGACTATGTGTGAAAGGTAAATAGTTTCATGAGTTCTGGCACCTTTTTTCTTACAAAAAAAGCACTGATTACATATATTACATTTTTATAGTGCCAAAGGTCTTTCCTACTGAGCGGGTTCTTTCCTTTTCAGTTGCCAGACTCTTTCTCTTGAAATTCAACCTTTCCTGAAACTGTTTTGCTTTGATCAGAGAAACTGTTATCAAGGTATTAATACAAATGTTGACGTTGACTTTGCAGCCCAGGGCTGTCTTACACTGAATTTGACTTTCTTTGTGATAGGTGAGGGTTGGGTTATTATTATGACATATATATAAATAACATACTTATGAGCATGATAGATTCTGATTAGGAATGGCCTTATCATTTTGTCACACATATTTATGAAACAATGCCATCAAACGCCCGATGTTTAAAAAATAGAGGATTTCCCCTCCTGGACACCGCTTGGGTTAAAATACCATTCAGGATCCCTTCAAGGGCCTTGTGGAAATTTCAGAGAAATAATGCATCATTAGATAAATTCTCAAAAGGAAGGAAACACCACTCAGTTAGAGATAGAAATGTATTTCCTGTGCAAGGGCAAACAAGACTTTGTGTCTGCTGCTTAAGCCAGGAGAAATGACACTGTCACATTTCACAAAGCTCCCTCAAGTTTTTTTTATTTACTTTGGCCGTGTGCCCAGCCTCCTGGGAAAGTGGAGGAGCATCGCCAGAGCATCTCAGGCAGGCCTAGTCCCCATCCATGGTGCCCGCCGCCCACCCCCTCCGAGTGGCCATCTTTCTATTAATCCGTTTTTGTCCATCTCCCCTCTGCAAATTATATCCTTGCCATTGCACTGCTGTTTTTCTTTCCCCCTGCAATATCTTAAAACTTATTTCACTTGTAGCAGATAACAGATTGATTTATTTATTTATTTATTTATTTATTTATTTATTTATTTGGAGTTTTTGTATGCCGTCCCATTCGCATAAGCCTCGGGACGGCTTCCAACACAATAAACAAACAAGCATTTAAATAATACATATAAAACCCGGATTCACCCTAGCTGTAGAAATTTAAACCAATAAATAATATTAACAGTTATTAAAATATTGCTTAAATAAAATAAAAAGGTCTTGGCCTGGCGCTGAAAAATAAATAACGACGGCGCCAGGCGGACCTCTCTGGGGAGCGCATTCTGTTAGTGGGGCGTCACCGCAGAGAAAGCCCTCCTCCGGGTACTCACTCTCCTAATGTCTTTCACAGATGACCTAAGCGTACATTTCCAGTAGCAGGAAATGATAGATTTTATTCCTTTTATTGATTGATTTAGTAAAAGCTTTTCTACCGCATCCACCACTAGTGTCTCAGGACAGCTTACAATAAAATGAGTAGAATAAAAGAAAACACCAGCGCATCTGATAATTGAAATACTAAAACCCCAGTTAAAATCAATGAAAATTAAAATGATGGGGGGGGGGAGGGTTTTGTCTGACGCCAAAAAGAAAATTAGGTTGGCACCAGGAGAACCTCTCTGGGGAGTTTATTCCACAATTGGGGCACCACCGCAGAGAAGGCCCTGCTCTGGGTAGGGACCCTCCTAATCTCCTTCAAGGAGGGCTCCACACTTCTTGATACTGAGGACCTCTTTTGCTATTCAGGTTCCAGGATTATCAGCATTTTAAACCTGGTTGGCTCTGAATCGACTAAGGAGCTGGTGTGGTGATGAGCGTGTCGGACAGGGGTGCCTGTGGGGCATTTCAGCCGGGTCGGCTCCCTACAAGCTGACCAAACGGGCTGCAGGACTTCTCTGTCAGTTCCCTCAGCGAGCCTGAGCTCCCTGCAGGAGTCATGAGAGCACCCTCAACACAAAGGGCAGCGGCACTCTTGCCATGGCCCGTGGATTCCCGGGATGGTAGCTGAGCTCCTAAGTTGCCTATACTTTGGAAGGATGTCAGGCTTGCTGCTGGAACTCACACTCAAAGCGTTCGAGAAGAAGCCGGCCAGCAGCTTCTCCAGCTGAGGTCACTGGGTTCCCTTGCTAGGCTGAGCATCCAGACTCACGTCCATGACCCAAAACCAGCCACAGGAAAGGCCTGACGTGAAGCAGATAGCTGCACAAAGAGACAAGTCCCTGGTGAGTATCTTCAGTTTTGACTCACTTGGGCAAACCGGTACCACTTTTCTCTGGGAAAAAATACTGCTCCTATTTTGGAGTTAAGTATGAACGACCCAGGCCAGAAACAACAGAGAACTGTCTTTTCTGCCCTGCCAAAGGTGTGGAAACATGGAAAAACTTAACATCTTTAACATATTAAGACAGAAAGGAAAAGGAAGAAATGGGGGCAAAGTTGGAAGGGTTTCCTGTTGGCTGGTGTGTGTGTGTGAAAAAGGCTGTGTGTTCCTTAGCCCTTTGGCACGGCATTACATTATTCCTTTGTGTGCAGCAAAGAATAGAAACATGCCCAGCATCGTTTTTATTTTTCCCCTAGGAAGAAAGCTCTTCTGGATGCAAAGAAGATGATGCTGGAGCATCATTTAAGCATTTTTTTTAAAAAGATATTGTGCCCCACCTCACATTTAAGGGAAAGAGACAAAGCAACAGATCCCGTCCACCAAGCTTTTGGCAGGGGATTCGACAGTCTCCGTTCTGTCTGGCCTACTTTATTGCTAGAATCTGGAATTCTCTGCTTGAGTCATACTGACTGTCTCCTGAAGTTCCAACAGCTACTTCTTCTGGCTGGAAACACAATAGTTTCTGAAGGACCAAGAGTGGTTTCAAAGAAGCTTCACTGAGCACAGTGTCTCCAACTTTCCTTCTGCTGCCTGCAAAACCTGTTTTTATTATTATTATTATTATTACATTTTTATAGTGCCCATAGCCAAAGCTCTCTAGGCAATAATCATAGAATCATACAGTCAAATCACCCATCCCACTTCTGCCCAGGCCTGATCCTGCTTAGCTTCCAAGATTAGGCAGGATCAGGCACTTCAGGCTACATATGCCTAATATCTAGTTTACTAGAGAAAGAAGTGTGTACACAACAGAAGTAGCTGTTCCTGGATCTTTAATACAACTTCTGCTATATCTTCCTTAAGACTTTGGAATGGATAAAAAAGCAGGCAATTTACTCCTGCACACAGAAGTAAAACGAACAGCA